TTTTCCCCCTCCTCCTCCACCAGCTCCCTTCTCCCCCTCCTTCCCTTCCTCCTTCTCCACCAGCTTTTCCCCCTCCTCCTCCACCAGCTCCCTTCTCCCCCTCCTTCCCTTCCTCCTTCTCCACCAGCTTTTCCCCCTCCTCCTCCACCAGCTCCCTTCTCCCCCTCCTTCTCCCTTCCTCCTTCTCCACCAGCTTCTCTCCCTCCTCCTTAGATTTTAAGCGCGATTGAATTCCAGCCAATCAGAACAGTGGTTTTTAATCGTGCTTAAAATCTATTTTAATCGTGATTAAAAACCACTGTTTTGATTGGCTGGAATTCAATCGCGCTTAAAATACATTTTAAGCGCGATTAAAATAGGTAGGTTTTGTCGTTAATGGCCTTCCATACTTAACGGGGTCATTGTACCTATTCGCAGTGTATTGTAGGGCTGCGGCTAATTATATAGGGCTTTGCGTCTATACTTCTAACCCTGGCTAGTTATTGTTGTTTTGGTAATAACATGGGACGTATGCTCGTATACATATATACGTAGCCCCACCGCGCACCCTAATGATTACAGACAATTACGCGTTAATATGTCACTAATAGTAGAAGCTGCTGGAAGAAACTGGTTTGGATTGTGGGGCGTCCGGGCTCTTTTAAGAAGCGTATAAATAGACGCTCGGGGAGACAGAAGGGGGTCACCGAGTTATAGAGGTAACCTACGAGGAGACGTACGTGAGTCATTCAAGATGTAGCGACGGAAACAGAGATGACGGTACCTAGTTAGGTTGTCGTATGTATGTATATATGTTGTATGTGATCGACTGATCGTAGTTACTAATAAAGTGATAGTTCAACAACGAAGCTGCGACTACGTCATATCTACTGGTGGTTACAGGGGCGGATTCGGGGGGGGGGGCCTTCCCCTTCCCACGCAAAGTGCCATTTTTGCAAAAGTTGCCTTATTAAAAAAACGGTATGTTTTGCCGCTCGGCCTATATCAGACAAGTATTTCACTCAGTCGGACCGATCAAGCCCTCGACTAGTGGTGCCCCCGGACGGCCCGTCCTTGTGCAAACCGAAGGTTTGAATTAATATATGCAGCGGCACGGCACGCTCCCCCTACTGGCAATTTAATACAAAACAGGGAATTACATATGGGAATTCACTGGGAATTCGACTAATCTGAATTCGTGTGCAACAGTGACTGACTTGACACAGCGTTTGCTGGTAAGCATGTCATCGTAGCATCGTTAAAAATTGTTCGCATTTAAAAGCGCACGAAAAACTATAATAAAACTGAAATAACCCTAAATACCTCAATGACTACGCCCACCGCATGCCACTCACGATGTTTACTCGGTGACGTGGCCCTCGCAAATCCCATTGGTTGATACAAATCACGTGCCTCAAATTCCGAAATGACGCCACAGTGTTGTCAATTGGCACATCCATAACACAAAACCCCAATTCCTCAATAGCTGAACGCCTAGAGCAGAGACGACACGGCTGAAATGTCGTTGGATCGAATCCCATCTGTTTTTCATTATTTTCCTGTTTTCTGTATTTTTCTATGTTTATCCATATTTACATGATTTATTTACAACAAATAATTTTTTTGCTTTATAGAGTTAGGGTTAGGGTTAGGGTCACAATGCACCATAAAACAGGAGTTTGAGGTACGTGATTTGTATCAACCAATGGGATTTGGGAGCTATGCAGGCACAGCTGTATATTTCGCCGTCGTTGAATTTCTCTTGCGTTTCGCGTAATTGACGGAGCAGTTCTTCAGTGATTATACCCGGGCCGAACATCAGGGCATGTTTATAAACATTGACGTCATATGCGCACATGCGGGGTTTAACGGTTGGTAGCAAGCAGATGCGTGATATGGTTCGATACAAGCGCACGCACGCACGTGTACGTACGCACGTGTACGTACGCACGCACGCACGCACGTGTACGTGCACACACACTCATGCACGCACGTGTACGTGCGCACGCACGCACGCACGTCTACGTGCACATCCATGCACGCACGCACGCTCGTGTACCTACACACACACGAACGTACGCACGCACGCACACATGCACACACGTGTACCTGCACGCGCACGCACGCACGAACGTGTACCTGCACACGCGCGCACACACGCGCGCGCGCACGCACGCACGTGTACGTGCACACACACGGACGCACGCACGCACGCACGTGTACGTGCACACGCACGCACACACTCATGCTCGCGCACACTCATGGGATTTGGGAGCTATGCAGGCACAGCTGTATATTTCGCCGTCGTTGAATTTCTCTTGCGTTTCGCGTGATTGACGGAGCAGTTCTTCAGTCATTCTCATGCAATAGCGATGTTTCATGTGTAGCGAATTCGACCCGCTGTACAACATACACTATAGCATGCGTCAGCATTACTTCAACCTTGAAGACGTACGGCTTCGTAGCCACGTGGGCTAGCAACGGATTGGAAAGGAAAGTCATGTTGCACCACTTGACCTATAGTTTAATTGGACGGGACACTTGCTGGTCACACGTGGGGGTCACATGCCTGTGACGACGTGGTGCCCCACCGCTGTATATAAGCTGCGGCGTCCAGCTCCAAAGCAACACAGAGCCAGCTTGGCTTAGTCAGGGAAGCTCGCATCCTCCCACTGCTCTCTAGCTGCTGGTGGCTTGTCCGCCCGCCCTGCTAGCTGACCATGTAGGGTGTAGCGGAGCTCGGTCAGAAGTCTACGCAAGGATACACAGCTCAGGACGAGGATCACGCCGCTTGCTGTTCCCTTCCTGACGCAAGGATACACAGCACGGAGCCAGCTCGGCTCAGTCAGGGAAGCTCGCACCCTCTCACTGCTCGCGCACGCACGGACGTGTAAGTTCTCACGCACGCATGCACGCACGTGTACGTGCACACGCACGCACGCACGCAGCACGCACGTGTACGTGCACTACATAAACAGCGCTTTCTATCAGAACAGGAGGTTATTCATCTGTAAATGTCAAGCAGCACGCTTCGCTTCTGCCAACCACAACACATAACAAATACACGTGACCTGATCTATGACGTCACGTGAAACATCACTATTAGGCCTGCGCGATGGCGTGTGCATGTTTGCTAGTGAATTAGACCCGCTAAAATTCGAGACTCTTCGCTGGCAGCAATTGATCCGTGCGCCGGTCTTTCGATTTGGCGCACGGATCAATAGCTGCCAGCGCGTGATACTTTCGTAGGACGTTTCCGCGGTCGCGTGCGCCTTGCCGCGGAACTGCGCGCAAGATTCGCGCTTAGCGGGCAGGATCAACACTTCTCAGGCGACGCTTCTCTGGTATCCGGTCTTTCATCTGGTTTTTCTTAGAATATATATATTGGTAGGGCCCAGGAGGCGTGCCATACCATGCTCAAATCCAAAACGGCAAATCTAGGTCCAAAACTAAACGCTGCCTTTCTTAAAATTATGTTAGCAATACAGTGGTGACACGGAACTAAGAGTCGGCGTGCACCAGTCTACCATTCGCGCATCTTTAATTTTTCGCCCATGCAAAACAAACATTTTTACCCCACATGCAGTGCTTCAAATTTACACACAGAGTGTCCCAGATTGCGTCTCAGAGCTTCTACAATTCAAAAATTTGGGCATGCCCCGGACCCCCCTAGCACTGAGCAGCACCCCCATGCTATAATGAAAAAGCTTGGAGAACCCTGTTAGGTGTTATTAGCTCTTGATTATATTGCCAAATGCACGCATTTCAATCAGCTACGCCAAAACTCACATTAATAACTAACTTATGGACCGAAAACCCATATATATGTGAAATTAATGAATTTAAAGTGTAAATTTGGGGGGGGGGCTTCGTCCCCACCTCCAGTGCCTTTTTACAAACGTTGCACCCCCTCCTTCCTAAAATCCTGGATCCGCCCCTGGGTTACAAGACGCTGCTACTCTATTTGCTACTCTGCATTTGCTACAATCTACGGTTGCTACAAGTCTACGCTGTCGAAGCTACAGAACCTACACGGAGATCATCAACAATTTCGCATTACAATAATAGTTCCACAACTAGGCAGTAAACAGCTAATTTTTTAATATATTTCTGAAGCTCTTTCTCTCTCTCTCTTTCTTCCCAGCCGCTCTCTCCCCCTCTCTCCCCTCTACCCCGCACCCTGTTTTCTCTACACTTCTCCCTTTCTCTTTCTCCAGCTCTATCTCTTTCTCTCTCTGTCTCTCTCTCTCTCTCTCTCTCTCTCTCTCTCTCTCTCTACTATATATATATATATATATATATATGTGTGTGTGTGTGTGTGTGTGTGTGTGTGTGTGTGTGTGTGTGTGTGTGTGCGTGCGTGCGTGCGTGCGTGCGTGCGTGCGTGCGTGCGTGCGTGCGTGCGTGTAGAAGCGTAGCCAGGGGGTGGGGGTAGGACGAAACTCCACCCCCGCGGGATCGGGAGTTCCGCTCAAATGTATACATTTTTTTAACCCTATTTCGAATTCCAAATACCGATGGTGATGAGTATTGAGACAAATTAACACAATTATTAGCAACAATGGAAAGTTCCGTCGATCCTCATTACGATCCAGGACACGTATATGTATCATTCCCGCAGTACTGTGAGAATTAAGTTAGAAATAATTAATTTAGCATTGTGAAAAGTTTTTATTTATTTCCATAAAATAAACCGTTTCAAACCGTGTCCAAGTGACAATCACTAAATTAGTTTAAATCCTCAATTTAAACTTTTACAAATCAATGACACCTAAATTGATTTAAACTGATTTTTCTCGTGAAATCAGGTCCAGAAGTCAGTTATGTGGCGAAAAGTTACTCAAAAACCATTAATTCATGTCTAAAAATACTATTTCAAAGTGCTGGGCAATCGTACCTGGAGCCATTAAATTTTCAAAAAAAAATTGGGTGGAGCCCCCTTAGGTGCTTCCCCCTTAACGGCGCTCGCGCTGTTATATACACTTCGATAGTATAAAGTTCCAATGCTGTTGTAATAATTCAGAATCCCCCGACTGTTTAGCTGGCTACGCCCCGTGTGTGTGTGTGTGTGCGCGCGCGCGCGCGCGTGCGTGCGCGCGTGTGTGTGTATTTCTCTATCAATCGCACTCAGAGAAGACCCTACGTTCAGATTGTTGATATTGAAGACATTTTATGCTATTCTGTTTCCTTTTTTATATATTCATATTTTCATTTTCATATTCATTTTCATATCATTCAAATATTCATGATCTGAGAGAAATCTTTCCAAATGTACACCACCAACGGCCACAACAGTGCTATCAACCTGCATGTTGCATAATTACACGGTGATACATACAATTTCCAGAAGAAATGGGAATACTGAAACGAATATTTTGCGGGAACGGACCGGAAACAAGGAACGGGAGCATAAAGTGAGGGTACGGTTAGTGAGGGTACGGTGAGTGAGGTGGGACAATGCAGAGTACGGGGTACTATACGATATGTCGCTGCGTACTCTGCATTGTCCCACCGTACCCTCACTTTATGCTCCCGTTCCTTGTTTCCGGTCCGTTCCCACAAAATATTCGTTTCAGTATTCCCATTTCTTCTGGAAATTGTCGAGGTACTTTCCGATATATCGAACTGTACCCAGGGTACCCTCCGATAGTACCCTGGGGGACATAGACCCTATCAGCGTTATTTACGATTATAATTATTAGCTATAAGCTTATTTTTCAATTTTGCTCCAAAATCTAGGGGGACAGCTGTTCCCCGTGCCCCCCCCAGGGCCGTATCCAGGGGGGGTTATTTGGTTTCTGTAACCCCCCTTGGTTGCTAAAAAAAAAGTACTAGTTTAAACCTAGTAACATGTTTGGACCTACAGTTGTTTACTCGGGTCTTACTCGGTTACATTGGGATCTATACAAATAAATGTATTGTGATACTAAGTGGGTATATAACAGGTGTCAACTAGTCAAATTTAATGGGTAAAAGTTAATTTTTAGCTCATCTGACGAAGTCAGATGCAGCTTGTAGACTCGCATGATTGTCAGTGCGTCTGTCCGGCCGTGCGTCCGTCAACAGTTGGGCACAAATCTGAACCGCTCGACGTACGGTCACGATATTCGGGACGTGGGGGGATCATGAAAAGGACTCGGATGATCAATTTGGGGGTCAAGGGTCAAAGGTCAAGATGTGTAAACGGAGGGGGAATATTTCCCCCTTAACTTAAGGTATAGGAGGAAATACGGAATTGAGGCACAAATCTGAACGGCTCGACCTATGCTCTTAATTTTCGGTGTATAGTGTGATGGGCAGGAAACCCATCACCAGTGCGAAATTGTAGGTCACAGGTCAAAGAGCAGTGGGGGAAAGGTCAGATATCAGACATTTTCTGAGGACATATACTAACGGACAGAGTGAAAAACTTTTTTGTTTCAGCACTGACCTACCATTTTTATCACTTTATTGAAAGGACCATGAAATATGCTTTCCACTGATGTGCGAAGAGTAAGTGTCTGATAACTTTTTGACCCTCAAGAGCAGGGTTAAACATGGATTTGTTGACTGTTAACAAAGGACTGAACTGCTTTTGCTATTATTAGAGCCCATACCTGTGTGGATGTGAGGCTACATTTGCAGTTCAATTGCAAAGACAAAAGTTTGTTGAACAAGGTTTACACTCCTTAAATCATATTATTTTCTAAAGCAGTCTGTACACTCCCTGAATGCTCGCGTGGCTACCGTCATCCGAAATGTAGGCAAAAACCCGGGGGCATCCCATTACTCATGCATGGGGGTAAACTGGCACTTTTCAAATAAACATGCACACCTGCAATGCAGATGTGTTTAATTTAATGTTACTCACAGCTAATTTAATGTTACTCACAGCTGAGCGAAATTGTCGCCTGCCTGAATATACTTGGATTTTTGCCTGTAAATTTCAGCAACTCAATAGAATTAGGTTATCTCTACTTTCTTGACTTAACACCAATGCACGAAGGGCAATGCTATCTTTGATTATTGATTACACTTGCACGAGCCATCTCGCGGCAACTATATGCCTAGTGATACATTATGACACGAATATATAAGACAGTCGATCAGGTATGAAGTAGGATGCATTGTTAGGGTTTAGTTTTAGTGTTAATACCTATGCTACACAGTTTTGATGATGACGTAGCCGGTTTAGCGATAGAACAGGCTTTCAACCATTTGCAGAAACGAAGGCCAGTACAGTAGAGCAGCAGACCTCAGATGAGCACTGTTGCTAATGCGGCACTTGTTTGTGTAACCATTAAAATGTAATTATAACCTTTTTTAAGATAAAGACTCATTGATGGTTTGTAAACTACTGAAACACTCTACTACTGTAACAGTTTTAGTTAACACTAGTTAACACTATAATTTCAAAGAGTCACGGGTCATCATCCTAGTATCTAGATTGGATGAATCAACACCACGGAGATAATTAGTCATAATTCCCAACACCAGAGATGAGTTTGTTACAAATCTCATTTTATTTGATTGATGTTATGGAGATATACACTGTATTTTGTATGAATTCAACAAACAATTGAAGTGGAAACAGGAAACAGCATCTAAGCATGTTTAAAAAAAACCAAAAAATTGGCCGGACTCTCCCCCCCACTCACCGCTTCGCGTCTCGAGGCGAAGCTTCGCATCGCCATTTTGTAACCCCCCTCTGCCCAACCTCTGGATACGGCCCTGTATGTAAGTTCTGTTAATCAAATAGCATTAT